TTCCCCTCCTCCCCGCCCCTCCTCCCTCCCTTTGTAAGTTTGAAAATGCGTAGAATGATCAGAATGTCCTTCCGGATAACAGATGGCATTTGTCTGCATGCTGTGGAAAAAACATACGCCAAAGAGGAGGAGAGCAGTGGTAGTTTGCTGTACCAGCCACTGCTTGCTCATAATGTGTACTTGCAAACATATTCCTCCTCATCCTGGAGCCTAGCTCTACTGTTCCACTTGTGTCTTGGTAGTGTTATGTTGCAGGGATCATTGCATACATGCTTGCCAATGACTTTATCCTTCTGTAATAGGAGATAACCTCTGGAGTCAGACTTGTAAGGTCTAGACATGCTTGCCAATGACTTTATCCTTCTGTAATAGGCGATAATCTCTGGAGTCAGACTTGTAAGGTCTAGATGAAGAGAGATTCAATTCTCCATAACCAAAGTCCTTTGCATTTTCGTCCGCACAATTAGTGTTGTTCACACAATTGCTGTTATCCATAAATTGGCCAGGATAAGTGTGTTTTATTAATAAATCAGTGATCGCTAGGATCTATTTTGTCAGAAGGTGCACTCAAGAGAATTGTGGCTAAAAAAGAAAAGAAAAGAAAAAAAAAGGAGAGAATTGTGGCTTGCACGGCCGGGCCTAAGTGGATCTGTACGCCTTCTTTCAGATGTGTTGTTCTCTCACAGACTTGGTACTGCATTGCCTATCACAGGATCGCCATGAGGCTGCAGCAGCACTGAGGCGACAGATGTGGGCAGAAGGTCAAGCAGAACGACGACGGCAGAAAGAGGCTCAATATGCAAAGCTACAGGCCATTGCGAGTGGCGAAAGGCCTGGTACACCGGGTGCAGACAGTGATGGTGGTGGAAGGCCAATGGCTAAGGGGGGAGGTGGTTCTGGGGATGAGGCGGCACATGCAGACGATTACATGCATGGCTCTGGAGTAGCAGACACTGGGCATGGTCCCTTTGAGAAAGCAAGAGCACGTATGCGTGCAGATATAGTTGAGCGTGCTGATGAAGCGTATGCTATAAGGATGCGCCCGCTGGGACGTGATCGACGGTTCAACAGGTACTTTCGGCTTGTGCCTTGTGGTGCTGGTGAGTGTGACAAAGGTTGGGGCCGAATCTTCTATGAGAGCTTCAAAGACAGTCACTGGAAAGTTATTGACACTGAGGAGGCCTTCGATGCACTTTTGCGGTCTCTGGACACAAGGGGGATGCGAGAGGCAGCACTGCACAGGGCATTGCTGAGGCATGAATCCAAGATTCGTCAGGCGATGCGTAATGAATATGGAGGCAAAACAACTGGAGCAGGTCGTGGGAAGGGAGGGGCAGTCGTGGTTATCAAGAAGGAGGACAGGGAAGAGGAGGACCCTAGAGAAAAGTGTGGTGGAGAGCAGGAGGGGGTAGGGGAAGGCTGGAAGAGCGGAGCAGTAAAGATTCCGCCAGCTCATGAGGTGGACCGCAGGTGTGCGTGGGAGAAGTTTGAGGAGCTGGAGAGGTGGATGTCCGACGTTAGGACGCGAGCTTCAGCTGTTCTTGCAGCAGATGAGATTCCCCGTGATGCGAAGGGTGTGGCCCCGGATCGTGGGACTCGTTGTGACTATTGTCAGGTGAGCATTTGTTGGTTGCAGATAAGCAGAGAACAGTCGTTCACCTCTGCTAGCTTGTATGACAAGTCGATAGTTTGTATGTGAGACATGTTCTTGTCTTGTATGTCGGTCTGCAGAATGAGCTGAATCTTTTGCATCCATGTATTCAGTAGGTGGGTGAATGTAAGTGTCGCAGATAAGTGTACCGTGATGATTGGTCATAGGTTGCCAACAGGGCTTCCAGAGGATGATGAGGGTAGTGAAGCTTCTATCTTGCTGCAGCACCTGACCACATGCAATTTGCTGGGCCCTAATCGTCTTCACCCGAAAATAACGCCCAGGCTTTTTATACGAGTATAACGCCAGTTGGACGTTATATTCGTTTATAAGGCCCGGGCGTTGTGTTCAGTAAATTGGTAGCAACTCTGGTGAGGCCCATGATTGAAAAAATAAAAAAGAAATCTGTAAGAAAATATGTTCTAACTTCTAAAGAATTGCAACAGGCTGGGGGTCACCTCAGGATTCCTTATTAAGTTGAACATCCAATCCCAAAGTAGGAAAATAAAACTGACGCACACCCCTTTGAAGTTCAAACCCCTTTAACCCCCCTTTCCTTTAAACCCCCGCGTATTCCCCCCTTCCCACCCCTACAGGGTATTCTACCAATGCAACATTCAAACATATTCTGATTTAGCGCGTGGGCATTGTATTCGAAGGGGTGTTGTATTGGAGGAAACTCAGAAAAGTGAGTGAAAGAAAAAAATATTTGACTTTTTTTAGGGTAAGTTGGATGTAACACCCGGGCGTTATTTTCGGGTGAAGATGACAGTTTTCATATGCTAGGGATCACCCTTGGGTATGGCTCTGTGCACGCTGGTCCTCCCAGAATTCAGAAAGTGACAGGGGGCTTCTGCAGGGTTACCCCTTATGTTGATCTTGTGTTTTCTTGTTTTTTTTTTTCCTTAACGTTTTTTTTTTTTGGAAACTTTTGGGTCTCCTCCTTCAACAGTGGACCAAATGCCGCTGTCATCAACCACCGGGGCAACCCCGCTTGGCTGCCATCAAGATTCTTGAACTTTGAGAAGAGCGGACCCACTGAGGATGGCAGAAGACTTAGCCAATGATGTTTGAATTTCTTTAGCAGGATGGATTTCTCTCTCTCTCTCTCTCTCTCTCTCTCTCTCTCTCTCTCTCTCTCTCTCTCTCTCTCTCTCTCTCT